TCCTCCCTTGGGGGTCAGGGGTACAGCTCAGCGGCACAGTGCCTGCCTGGAAAGTGAAAGGCCATGAGTTTGATGCCCAGTCCTGTCCTGATTGTTTTCACTCTTTCCTGACACAGCAGGTTCACACAGCCATGCACACTTCCCAACACCACAGGCCACCCTTCACCTGCAATTGCTGTGTGACAGTTGGCCAGCAGGTGCCTTTGTCCTGAACAGCAAGGGAGAACATCTCCTAGGCTGCTGCAGTCTCTGAGTAATGCCCTTTAGGACAGAGAACCTTGTATTCAGAGAGACAGAAATGTCACCTTCCATTTTCATCCTGGCAAACTGCTGCCTAAGACTGCACAATTCATGCATCACATTTGCATGTAACTAAAGACACAGCACCACCTGTTCATTAGCCCTCTCCATGTGGCCATCGTAAAAATTTAATATGGAACTAGTGTGAGAAAAAAGGTTCTGAAGGTATTTTCTGGCAGAGGCATATGAATATTTTTATTCATATGGTCACAAGCTTCATAGTATCTATTGCCTGTGTTTTGTTTTTGTGGGATTTTGTTTGTTTGTTTTTCTCTCTAATGGTTTACAAAGGTTCTAAAGCCTTTTAAGCAACTGGAAATACCAATTTGCTTCCCCTGAGGCAAAAAATAGAGACATGCACATAGAGCGCTTGGAGGCCATGACCTTCTGGAAGGTCACCTACAGATCTGAACAGTCCACAGGTCCCAGAATTTGATAACCAAGGTGACACAGAACATGCACTGCACAAAAGTCAGAGGAGCTGGTGACAGTCCTCCTCCTACCACCTGCCGATGTTGTGGCCATATGCAAGGCAACTCTCTCATGTGCTGCTTTGTCAGCTGTAGCATGGAACTATTACAGAGTTACAGAGTTTAAACACACAGCAGAGGTAAAAATAAAATGGAAACCCAGTGGTCAAAACTAGGTGCTTACTTTTTTTTTCTAGTTACTATATATATATATATATATATATATATATATATATATATATATACACACACACACACACACACACACAATTTTTTATCTTGTATTTGTCAATTTGAGTTTCTGCCAGGGCTGCCTTTCATTATACTTTCTAAGGTTATCGAACAAGACCAAGCAAACTTCAAAGCAGCTGACCCTTTCTCTGCAAAGGAAGGACATATTTGCTTTTCAGAATTTTTGTTCTCAGTATGTTTGGGTAATAGTCACAGGATATTTAGGCACCTCGGTACTTCAGATATAACCTGTGTGACGGTTTGCATAAGTTGGGGCGGGTTATTTCATGGGCTATGCATGCCTAAGTAATGTGATAGAAACTGTAAAGAGGTGAAAGTTGCAGGAGAAAACCTAAAATGATCTCCACGATTAGTCTTTGGTAGGCCTGATGTGCCTATAGATTAATTTATTTTGTCTTCTGGAGACACCATTAGCATTACCATAAAAATGGCAAGAACAAAAGAATTAGTCATCAAAATAAACCAGGGGATGATATAACATTATCCAAGATAACCAGAACAATATTAACTTACGTAAGCACTTAACTCACCAATAGTCAAGCAATATTTAGCATATCATAGAATTTAAAATTGAATTTATAGTAAGATCAGCTGTTAGGAGTACCCAAGAGGTCAAGAAATACCTATTTATTTTTGAGACTGCTCACTATGCAGTTCAGGCTGAACTTGAACTCACTCTGTAGCCCAGGCTGGTCTTTAACTCACAGAGATCCTCCCTCTGCCGCCTGAGTGATTGAACTACAGTCATGAGCCACCACGGCTCACTAAGGTGCCTATTTGAAAAGCTAGATTCCATGGCTTAGCTGGGATAATAAATGAACACTTATTCTTTACACATCTACTAGATTTAAAATATCGTACAGGACACGCCACAAGGATAGATGAAAGAATTACATATATACTGATACTCATCAATCCTGCTTTGAGCCTTTGCCCAGATACACCTTAGGTACCCTAAATCTCCAGCAATGCATGAAGGATGAGCTAGGGCAGGATGGAGGCCTCCCACCCTGGTATGTGCAGGCACTCTAGCTGCTGGTTAGGACAGAGGATGGAGCTGCAAGCGGGAACTTAAGTCTATGTGGAAGGGCTTGCTCATTTCCAGCATAGACACAATGATAAGGGATGCAGAAAGGATGGTAGCTAGTCTTCTGCTGTACTGCTTTAGGATTGTTGATGGGGTCTTAAGCTTACGGTGGTGAAAACAGCTGTCTTTGGTACAGTGGAGAGGTGACTCCAACTCTGCGTGGTCTCTGGTCTTTCTCTAGTCTCCATGGTGCTAAGATGCCATTGCATAACTACTACCCTGACCTGAAGGCAACAGGATTGCTCACAGAATAGTTGCGGAGATTCTGAAAGCTGTACAGGAATATGTAGCAAAAGGGAAACAGATGGTTTCACATTAACGTCTCAGATATGAGACAGGTTTGGACACTGTAGTACAAGTTACGGAGGTTTCTACTGTCGACCTGATGGCTAGAGCCTGCTTACGAGCAACAGTCACTCACACAAGTCCCGAACCTGCACTGCGCTGGAGATACACCTTTAGCATCCTTGTATTACACTTCTCATGCACATATGTGGTTTCTATCATAACCACAAACGTGATGTGTGTTACATAACTGTTTCAAGCGCCAGATGATCGTTTTGGTGAGTGACCTGTCAATCACATGCTTTCAAAAGAAGTCACAAGGGAAGTCTGAGAGAACAGGTCGCTCTTTCCTGAAAATTCTCTAGAGGACTAGAGTTTCCAGAGGGTGGGTGGACAGTACTCTATGATGGCAAAGAAGACAGCCTGCTGGTGAGACGTTTAAAATAACTCCTCATGCAAAAAAGAGACCTGAACATAATAAAAAGTGTGAAGGAGAAATCAGAAAAGAGCACTGTAAGTCTGCAACACATCAATTTCACATGCATATCTAATTATATCAATATATTGCTGGAGTCTATTTATCACGTCAACACCTGAGCAGCTACACTCTCTACAACACAAGAGAGGGCTTCAAGATCTCCACATTTATCTCTTAATGTAATGTCATTGAACTCCCTAACGACCAAAGCAAAACTGTGCTTCATCTCTTCTCACTCACTAACTCGTGGTGTGCACTAGCATCTTATCTTTAACATCTCTAGTATGATTTCTGTAAAAGTACAAATGTGTTACTTGCAGGAAAAACCCAGGAATGATTCAGTATCCATAACAAGCATCTGAGTGGAAGGAAGCAAAGCATCTCTGACTCCTTGCTGTACACTAGGAACAAACCTCAAATATTTTCTACAAAAACACATTGTGTGTAAGAGCCAGAGTCATAAACCCCATGGTTTCCTCCATAAAATACTGCTTCCAATCACATTTTAGGAGAAGGGAAATATATTTAATAATTTGCAGCAACCGAGTCCTGGGTCCTAGCATTTAAATAAATTGTAACTTACAAAATAGCATCTTAGACAAAAGATGACTGTCTAGATTTTTTTTAATCTCCATAAATCTTTCTGTGAAAATAGAGAGTGCAGTGAAAAATAAATGGACAGTATTGGTTCCCCATTGCTGATGCACCAAACTTGGGACTTAAAACAAAGCAGATTGAGTGTCTTAAAAATTCTTAGAGATCCAAAATACTCTTACAGTACTAAAGCCAAAGTGTTGATAAGGCCAGGAGACTGCAAGGGGGAACTTTTGTTTCTTAATTTCTTGGAGGCATTATAATTTTATCAGAACTCATCTTAATCCTTTCACTGTTGATTAAGTCTTTGCAATATGGATATTCAAATAATCCACTGATGATAATGTCATCTTTTGATGAAATACACAGCAACAGAATGGAACAGTACTATAAATCATTAGAATGGTTTTCTGAAACAAAATGGATTAGTAAATAGCAATAATAATCTCTCTACAAACTGCTGAATGAAGTCAGTCCAATCTGACCCTCTGCACTGATTTGAATGTGTCCTCCCAAATTTATGTTAATCTTCAAAAACATGTTCATGGGGGCCAGGCATATAGCTCAGCAGCACAGCACCTGCTTGTCAAATGCAAGGTCCTGAGTTCAATTCCCAGTAGCAAAAAAGTAAAACATAATAAAGGTATTCAAAGGTGGGACTTTTGCCAGGTGGTATTTATCAAGAGTCTGACCTCACGAGTGGATTAAGCCACTCATGGATTAAGATATCAATGGGTTGCCATGGGTCTCAGTCTGTTATAAAAGTGAGCTCACTCTGATACTGGTTTCATGGGCCATGTCACATTGGCCACCACGTTATGAGGCAGTAAGGTGGCCCTTACCGAATACCAAACAGAGGCCAGAACCACGATCACAGACTTCTACAGCAACAGTTCCAGAACAGTCAGCTAAATCACCCTCTTTTTTAACAACTACCCATGCACAGGTATTACATTATAGCAACAGAAAACAGACTAAGGCAATCTCACATGATGCCATCTGGTGACCTGTATGTATTGAGCACTAAAAGTCCCTGAAGGCCACATGTCCTAGGGTAAAAGGCTTTGGATTTGAGCTCTATTCCACATACACACGTGGCATCATGCCTTAAGCTCAGATCTGACAATCATCTAGAGCATGCACAACATACTTTGTTATAACAATGGCGCCAGAACTCAATTAGGATGGGAGCTTCCCAGGTGCAGAAAACTCAGCCCACTGAGCTCAGCGAGAACAAAACTAATGAATGAGACAATGTGGATGCAGGGACTGCCAGAGAGAGTTCTATCTTTAGGTGAGCTTGGAGATATTGCCAGATGTTCAAGTGCATTTCTATCTTAGTCCTTAGCCAGCCATGCCAGCTGATGACAGCAGGTTTTCCCTCCATCCCTGTTTCTAATTCTCTTGTCAACTTCAAGTCTTTCTACCCTGAAGGCCAAGCCATCATGCGCAGGGGAGCAGTCAGGTCTTGATGATAACTCAATTCCTCCACCTCAGCTGAAAAAGGATGGTGCACAGGTGTCTGTGGTAGTTACTGTGTGGTAGGGTGTTTCCCTCTACCAATAAGACTGGATAAACAATAGGAATGTGTTATGGTTGATACAATGTGTCCACTTGAGAAGTTTAACTAAGATTCTGGGCAGGGAGCCAGGGTTCTTACTTTGTAAATATCCTCCTTCTGGGCAAGAGGAGGGCAACAAGATTTTTTGAGTGCTACACCCACCCTGGAGGAGGAATGGCCCTTCCTTGATGTTGCACTGCTGCTTTTGCTGGCTGCTGCCCCTGTGCCAAGCCACCCTGCCTTGGAAGCTGCTGATCATGGACTGAAACCTCCACAAACAGTAAGCCTTTCCTCTCCTAATTTTGGGTGTCAGGTGTTTTGTCTCAGCAATGAGAGCAAAGCAACTGAGGAATAGTGTATTTCTCATACAGAACCAAAGATCAAGGCAAGGGCAGATCCAATGTGTACTTAGGGATGCTGTTGGCTTTAATGTGGTGTCTTCTTGCTGTGGCTCACACAGAGGAAGGCAAATAGAAAAAGAGTTACACCAGGGGTTGGAGGAATGGCTCAATGCCCTAGCACCTGCCAGGCAAGCACAAGGTCATCAGTTCAACTCCTGGTTTCAACAAAACAAAAAATAAAAAATAAGAAAAGGAGCAATGCCAGTACCCTTTTTTAAGGGCCTTTTATAAGGCCACTAACCTCTTCATGAGGGAGCACACTTCATGACCTATTCATCTCCTAAGGGTATCATCTCTGAATATAACCACTCTGGGTTATAGCTTCCAATACATGAATATTGGAGGGATACATATATTCAAAGCACAGCAAGAGGTACACCACTTTGCAAGATGCTATGCTTTGTGCTTGGATGCCCCCCCACAAGCCTCGTGATGTTATGGAGGTGGCTGAGTCTAGCATTTCTGATTGGTACAATTTCTAGGGCTAAGATTGGTGGTGTGACTATGCACCACCCAGGGATGGGGAGCTGGCATACGATTTGAGGGAGGGAAGAATGTATATTCCCACCCCCCCCCCTTTTTTTTGTGACTTGTAGCCACTGTGAACAACTGCCCCTCAGCGCCTCTGCTTGGAGGCTGCTTTGGAACTAGCTGAGTGTGAACTGAAACATCCAAAAATTGTAAGCTAAATACACCTTTTCTTCTTTCATTTTGGGCATCAGGTGTTTTTGTCTCAGCAATGAGAGAAAAGTAACCAAGACACCAGAGTAGGAAAACTGTTAAGAATAAGTGGCTCCCTTGTTATTCATCCTGAGTTAGTGAACTTCCAAAAGTTCCCCAGAGATACCCTGAATACCCAGAAAAGCTCAGTAAGGAAGGTATAGTCTTTAATGGTATCTGTAGCACAACAGGCCTCTGAATGAAAGGCTCACAAAAGCTTTCTCCCCTTTGTAATATCTTCTATATTTGGGAAAAAGCAAAATATTTTACAATAAAACATAGGCCACCTGCAACCTTCTGTTGTGCTGGTTACTGACCTTCACTCAAATTCTCCCGTCAACACACATCCTTGGAGAAATAGGAATGCTGTTAGCCAAAGGAAGGTCTGCTTTTATAGTCTCTCGTTGTTGTACCTAAAGAGTGCATTAGTGAGCTGATTCACCACTGAGTGCAGTCTGGGAAGTCTCTTCTCTTGTTTTGGTCATGTATTTCTATTTGGAGTTCAAACAAAATTAACTGCATTCTCTTCCCCCTTGTCATTGTTGAAGCCACTGGATGTCTCTGTAATAATTCTCAATATATCTGTGTTACATGAAAGGTTTGATTTGTCTCACAATATGCATGACTTCTGTGTTAAGGTGGAGCTATCAGAAATATTTTCATATGCTTGCTTTGCAGTTTCAGGAAGTTACCTTTACACAACCGCAGTGGAGTTTAAGAATCTCTTTGGAATTATTGCAGGTACACACTTTGAAACAATGGGTTGGTTTTCTTCTCCTACAGTATTAGTCTGCTTGCCAATACTGTAATGAAATGCCAGAGACCTGTTGACTTTATAAAGAATAGAGCTCACAGCTCACAGCTTTTGGAAGATGAAAGTCCATCTATCATGTATCATGGCTCAGGATGTGGAGAAGGCTTTTTTTAGGTAGACAATTTTTTAGTATAAGATAGTTGTTTTTCCCAACTTTCAAGTGTTTACCGAAAGTCATTCCAGACAAATATATGAGTATCATGTGACCCAATTTCCCTGTTGGTCAACTAGCCACTGCTGCGACAAAGCATTTGAAATTGACTTACAAGGAGGACAGATTTATTTGACCTCATGGTTTCAGAGGCTGCAGTCCATGGATTCTGGCTCTATTACTCTGGGAATATGGACAGGCAGAACATCATGGGGGTGGGGCCATAGTATATCTCCTCCCCTCATGGCAGCTGGTGCTGGGTTCCAATACTCCTTTCAAGGGTACGCATCAGTGAGCTAGGTTCCTCCCACAAGCAGGCACTTCTCAAAGTTTCTTCTTCCACTCAGTAGTGCCACAGACTAGCAATTAAGCCTTCTTTGACTTGCTCTGAGGGACACTTAATAACTAAACTCTAACTGCTACACAACTTGAGAACACATTTACAAGACAGAGGCAATGTGTGCATTGGTGATTCTGGGTTGGCAGTGGTTTTGTTTTGTCTATTTGCTGCTGGAGACCAAACCCAAGGCCTTACACTTTTTTTTTTCCTTTGAGTATCTTGATAAGTTCCCCAGGCTGAGGCTGAATTTGTGATCTTCCTCTGAAAGCCTCCTAGAATGCTGAGATTACAGGTGTGCTCAACACGTCCAGCTTGGGTGGGTGAAGGATGGTGGTTTTCGTGCTACTATTTCTCTTTGTCAATGTTCACACCATTACAAGTTTTCTCCCAAGCACACCAACAAATGCAGAATTATTTCCTATTCCCCATGAGTTAATGCTGAAAAAGACTGTTCACAGATTTTTTGGCAGTATAACTTCCATTCATTATTTATACCCAAAAGGTATAAATAGAGATTACAAATCACTTTCAAAGAAAACTACAGACAGCATCAGTAAGTGACATTTTGCACTAGATAGACAGAGATGGATTGATCCTATTTGTTGCATTTCTCCAGCAACCGGAGGTCAAGGGGCACATAATTCATCAATTACACTAAATGGCCTTTGGAAGTTATCTGAGTAATTTTGGCTTTCTGTCTCCATAACAACCCATGTGCAAGAGCCAAGTAACAATAACAAAAATCATCTAACTTGCTGATGTAACTTTCTTACTGACAGGAGAGCAGTGTGACAGTTTTTAATGTAGTGGAATGTCTACATTCTTCTTAATGTGCACTGGAGTTTTTATGAGAAGAGGAAATTTGCATACAGTATGCACACAGCAAGATTATCATTCAGATGTGAAGGACATTAAGGAAAAACACAGTGAAACATATACATATCCTAGGACCCAGATTCTCAAAAAACCCTTGGCAATGATTTCCTGGGGTTGCTGTAACAAAGTACGACACACTATATGACTTAAATGACAGAAATTACTTTATTTTATTTTATTTGGGCATTGGAAACTTAAGATCACGGTGGAGTAAGGGTGACTTTCACCGTCTTCATGTTTGAATGACATACCTTCTGTACCCATGTCCAAATTTCTTCTTCTCAAAAGACACCAGCCATGCTGGCTTCTGCACACTCCAGTGATCTAATTTTAACTCAGCCATCTTCTTAAAGCTTCTATTTCCAAATACACACAAATTCTGATGGACAGGAAATTGGCATTTCGATGCAACATACTAATTTCTGGGAGGTTACAATTCACTCTCTGGTAATGTCTCAGTTAAAACAGAGAGATGATAGGGAGAAAAATATATGCACATGCACATGTATATATTTAAGAAACTATATAGCCTTTATATGTAGTGGTTGGGCCACTTGATTTTCTATTTGAGGTGTAATGGAAGGAAGAACAATGCTCATGCTCCTACCATCATCAGAGTAGAGAATGTGCTTCACATATTTCATAGAATGCAGCACTATGATCTCAGTAAGCTTTCTTCTTAACATTCAGTCCATTCAGTGCAAATTCACACTGGGGTTCAAGAAAAGTAATCACTTTTTCCTTAAGCATTTTCTAAAGTGCCCACACTCTGGGAATATGAAATGCTGTGATGGCCCGCCTGGGGGGGGGGGTCCAACTGACCACAGTCTTCTCTGTCTTAGGGCACCAGGTCTAGGATCTTTATGGCTGAAGGATGGATTTATTTCCAGGAAAGGGCTATCTTGGGGAGGTGGGGTCCCAATCAGGTGGGGTGTCTGCCTTTCCTAGAATCCAGGTGATCATGGGTCCAGGAGAGTGGCTGGAGGTTTCTGTAACTGAAAGACCCTTTCATCTTGGTGTCTTCACCCTTGAAAGGGATGGCATTGATATAGGGGACTGAAACTCCTGACCTACTATGTCCAGTACAAGTTCGTGTTCTCTAAAATTGATGAATGAATTTTAGGAGCAACCAAGGTTAACAGCAGAATATATTTATTGAGACAAATAAAGCTTCTGTCTGAGAAAGACACAAGGGATCTAGAGCAGGTTACCAAGGACTCTGTCTTTTCCAGGGAATTCTGTAGAGTAAAATCATGAGGTTAAATGAGTCAAAAAGAGGGAAAAATGGCAATTTGCAGGGTGGGCATAAGGCAGGACAGAAGGGTGGTCAACCAATAAGATCAACTGCTCAGGTAAAATTGACTAAATTAGGAGCAAACAGGGGAGTGAGCCACATCGTAAGCAGGCATGTTTAACAGCAGGGACTCTTTCTGTAGGGAGAAGACTCCTGACTGCCTCAGGGTAACAGAGAACTATGGACTGTGGACTTAGGATGTGGTTGTATTTGCTTTGTATTTTGTCTTGAGATCTGGCCCATAGCAGGAGGTGATTGTCTCTTCCAAGGCTGCAAGTTATCTGAACTTCTGCTCTGGCTCCTCTGAGGGCCCTGCCCTGTCTGACTGCCTGTAATATTTCTAATTAGCTCAGCTTCCTGTGGCAGAATCACACAACTTTCCGGCTAACTGACTATCTGGCCAGCTCCCAGGCAGAGCCTACATGTTCAACAGGCCCTATGCAGGGCCGCGAAGAGACTTGAACAACAATGTACAATAAGAAAGACTGGAAAATATAGACCAAGCTTTGTTTTAGTTACCTATTTGCTAACTACAGGCCCAAGAGAACAGTTATGATTCACAGCAAAAACAGCTCTAAAATACCTGATGGCCCCAGAAGTAAACACAAATCACGTTTTTATCAATAGCAAATAAGGCCCGGGATGCTACTGGTCTGTCATCCCTATTGATACAGGGGAATGAACCCCATCTACTAGTTGCCCGTACAAGTTCATGTTCTATAAAATTGAAGAATGAACTTTAAGAATAGAGATTAAAGCAGAATACATTTATTGAGAGAAAGAAAGCTTCTGTCTGAGAGTGAGATAGAAGGGGTTCTGAGTGGGTTGCCAAAGACTCTGTCTTTTCTAAGGACTTTTACAGAGCAAAACCAGAAGGGGAGGCAGGGTTCCAGATGGGAAAACATGCGAACTCGCAAAGTGGGCATCAGGTGGGACAGAAGTATGGTCAATCAGTAAGATTAACTGTTCAGGTAATGTTGATTAAATTGGGGACAAAAGAGGAAGCAAGTCCTGTAACAAGTGGGAATGAACACAGAGCAGTGACTCTTCATGTAGGGGGCTGGGATGGTGACTCCTGGCTTCCTCAGGTGATCCATACATTATTTAGAATATCAGTTCCTGGTGCTTGTCCTTAGGAAGTATGTGGGTGCATTTGATTTATCTCTTGTCTTGAGGCCTTGCCCATAGGAAGTGTTTGTCTCCTGCAAGTTTGCAAGGTATTAGGTCCTGTGTACTGGCTCCTTCCACTGCCCAGCTGTCTCAGTGCTTTTGATCTTTCTAAATAAGTCAGCTGCCAGTAGAACTACGATGACCTTGGACTATGTCATGATTTCTTTTTCCTCCTCACCCCTCCTCCTCCCCCCTCCCCCTCCTCTTCCCCCTCCTCCTCCCCTCCCCTCCTCCTCCTCCTCCTCCCCCTTCTCCTCCTCCTCTGTCACTGAGCAGGATCTGATGAGGTTCCCTAAACTGGAGATCAGGAAACTCACCTCAACCTACTGTTGGGGGAGACTGTTGGCTCACCCCACTTTATCAAGAAAAAGACTCTTCTAGAAAAAGAATCTTCAAGCTATCTGGAAAAAGGATAAAGAAGCTTACTAGCTTACTAGAACTAAAAAGGATACATAGATTCAGAGAGTCCACAGGGGGGCCCCTGAGCACAGTGTCTAACAGCCTGGAGCTGATTTCCTGTTGTCAGAGGCAGAAATCTGTGGAATCCGTGCAGCTGTAGAACTTGAATTCTTCAACTCACAGGTGAAAGTGTGGGTCCATTCACAGCGGAAAGGTCCACTTTACAGAAGAAAGGGGATGTATCCTGGGCAAGTAGAAAGGAAATGGCCCAACCCAGAGGTGGGGTGAGGAACAGAGTGGCAGTAATCTCTCATTTACTGGCTTGTTGCGTCTTTCAGACTAGTAGCATTTTTGTTTCTTTTGAGTGAAGTTCCCTGGATGAGAAAAAAGCATCATAACCTAGAGTAACTGAAGTTTTTCTTAAAAGTACAGTTTTAAAACTATGATTTTCATTGTCTGATTTTTACCTATCTTTGTTCCGATCTTTACCACACTTCTTCACCTTCCTCCTCCTCTTCTTCCTTTAAACTAAAGAATGTACAAACTATCCTGAAAGCGAAATCCAGGCTCTTCTTCCCCCTCTTCTTTTCTCCCTTTTTTTAATGGTCCAAGAACTAAGAGTGGCTTTTTATCTTCTCTAATGGTCATGGCCAAGGGGGTGGGGGAGAAAATCAAAAGAAGATTTTGTTACAGGTTTTATTTAAATTCAAATTTCACAGTCTAAAAAAATCACAATATTTTGGAATGCAGTCACACTCACCAGCCTGTATACGGCCTGTGCAGTTTTTCCTGCAGGAGGCAGACTTTTATTTGCAGAGCCTGAAATATTTAGGCTCTGACCCATTAGGCAAAAAGTCTGCCATCTCTGCTAAAGGGCTACCCTCCGTCCTGTCCACTGGAGGACTTCAGTAAGTCAGGCCACGGGGCAGCCGCCTTGCCTCTGGATAGGTGAAGCTAGCTGTTATCCCCCCTCTCTCTGATAAAGCCTGACTTCAGCATTCCCTGGTTCATCTCAGGGTCTCATGTAACAAACAGTGGGCTCCCCGGAATCCCAGAAAAATATCTCCTTATTCCTTCTTTCCACCCCTGTTTTAGAAATAATCATTAGCAGTGTCTACAGAATGGATGACTCTAGTTTACTGGGGCCTGGGGCACAAGAGCCAACAAGGACTGCACAGGAATAGGTTTTAAAAATATCCTCTTGAGCCAGGGATTTAGCTCAGCGGCATAAGTGCTTGCCTGGCAAGCACTAGGTCATGAGTTCGATCCCCAGGACAAAAAAAATCCTCTTGAACACAAATACGAGTTACCTCAGAGAAGGGCTGGAGGAAATGGAAGGCTGTACGGGAAGAGGAGAGGACATTAAGGGTTGTGCAGAATCCGAATGAGAGTTTCAGGAAACACAGTGACCCTTAAGGGTGAAGCCAATGAATTCACCAGATCTGAAGCTGATGAGGAACCCATGTTTCCATGAATCAAAGCAAATCCTGTCACTGTGGGGCTCAGGGACCCCAACCCACAAGCTCAGATTTCATTTCTTTGGGGCACCCCTGGAATGTGAGAGAATTCAACAAGAGGCATTGTAATGAATCACATCCACCGGTCCAGACAGAGAAAAGGATCCCTTAGAAGGACAAGACGCATTTTTTGTTATTGTTTTTTTAATTTCCCAGTTAGGTGCTCCATAAGCCCTGATAACAATCTTGTTTATTTTAGTACTGCTAAATCACACGCAGCCTCATAACAAGTATTCAACAAATATCTTTAAAAGGAAATTTCCAAAATATCCAGTTCCTTCCAAGATATCTCAAAAGACTACAAAATGAGCTCAGACCCTGATACAGTTATCACGGTGGCCAGATAAAATATGAAGACAGAGCCAGTGCAGCCTGTCTTAATTGATGGGCTTTTTATTTTAAGTCATATTACACGCTTTCACATAACTTCCCGGTAGAAATAAACATGTTTTGCACCTTTTAGCTCCATGAGAGAGAGGAAGAAAATACCACATCTTTTGATTCCATATTTAAAGAAAATGTTTTGAGACTTCTAATCAGCCACGGAGAATATCCAAACCAAGTCACGGTGGGTAAATGATGTGGGGTGCAGAATGAGACTGTGCTTAGTCACAACACGGGCAGCTACATGTGCTTAGGTTTCTTTCAGTGCTCCATCTCTTGAGAAAGGAGCCAAACGATGAGATCTTCAGAATTAGGAAACTTTTAATTCTGAGGCTTAAATATTTAATACCATTGGTGGAGTACTTCACACCTTACAAACATCATAGTAAATAATGTCAACTAGAACCCAAGAGGAGAGAGAACCCGGGGAGAGAGAATGGAAAGCCCATTTCCAACCTCAGAGAGAGGCTGGGTTCTTCATCACTGGGTTTTGGTTCCTGTAATAAAACATAACAGACACTTAGAGGCTGGGCTTGCAGGTGCCTGATGTGTGAACAAAAGCAAGTAAAACCTTGGTGGCTCTGCTTTCAGTCTGTATCTGTCTCCTTTGATAGCTCAAAAGTCTGGGTTAGACTATGATTCAGCCCTGTACACAGGCCTGTTAACCACTTAGCAAGCATCTGTCTAAATATTATTAATATGAGGTGTATCAGCTCTCAAATTACCTGTCTTATCCCCCTTCTAGATTGAGGACTCCAAGGTGGAAAAGGCATTTTCACGATATACAGGGACATTCAACTGTCATTTTTAACATCTCACTCTATATACCCTGCACAGCACTTAAAACTGGAGGGTCACCGTCCCAAACCTACAGGCACCTGGGATTCTAGGGAAAGCAGATCCCTGAAGGCTCATCTCATGATGAGGCCATCCTCACTCAGGACCATGGGAACCGAACTGGCTCGTCAACCAATTTCTCCAGGGCCACCTCGCAGAACTAATGATGAGATACAGATGAGCCAGACCCACTGTAGCCTGACCATGTTCACCTAACCGGGCTATACAGTCCTCCCACCCCAGACTTTGTTCCTGTCATGGTTTATGTTGGTGGCCCCCAAGCCTCATGCTTTTGCATTATTCACTTGTGATTGGTTCATTGTCCACAGCTTGGATTTATGCTGTCAGTGCTACACTTGCCTAGGGGTGGAGCCAGCACACAATGTGACCGCAGGAAGAAGCTGTGTCTTTCTCTCTTGCTGGTTTCCTCCTTGCTGTTTGTAGCAGCCATGAACTGCGGCCCCACCATGCCTTGGAGCCAACTGAATATGGACTGAAACCTCCAAAAAATGTAAGAAATACACCTTTCCTTTCCCAACTTTGGGCGTGAGGTATTTTGTCTCAGTGATGTGTGAAAAGTAACTAAGACAGTTCCCTTTTCCCATAAAACCCTAAAGCTTCAGCAAGCCCCTCGATGACACATCTGGAACCTCTTCATCTGTCCCGCCCAGCACAGCCACACTGAGAAAAACCTCCATTCTTGCTCAAGTGCTTGACTGGTGCTCGGGGCAGAGTGACCCGACCAGGGCTTTGGCCATGAAATTCTAGTAACAAACATGCTACATCCTCTTAAGAATGTCCTCAGACCTCCATCTCATTTAAGATCAGTTATATCTTCCCTTTCCATGCTTTCTGGAGATTTTTGTCTGGTTGACGCTAGCCTTTCTGGGTTTAATGCTGTTAGTAATGCAAGTGTTAATAAAGAGAACCAGACAAAAGTATCACTGACAAACACATTTCCAGTACTTTTTATTTCCATGAATTTTATGTTTAGACAGACAGATGTCTTTTATTAATGGGCTATTTAGTCACCTCTACCAAAACCATTCTCTAATATCTGTAATCACTGTGTCTCCTTTGTTTCACTTGATTTTCAAGACCAAAGGGAAGCTCCCCTGTGCTATCCTAATTGGGTCGTATCGATTTACAGATAACAAAATTTTATTCTGTTTAATGCATGTGTTCTTGTACTTGGCCAGCTATCACTGGGGCAACCTCCAAACCACGTGTTCTTAAAACCAGCTTGACATGTAATTCCAATGGCTGACAAATGGCCCACTTTCACTGTAATCTAACATACCAAGATTAAGCGGTGTTCTTCCAGAGTCAGGTCAACTAAGGATGCAACGATTCATTCATTCATTTATGCCCTTTCAGAAATTAGTTACAACCCTTTTAACTTTGCTCTTGCTTTTTTTTTTTATTTCTTTCCATTTCCAGAAATTTTACCATGCCTAGAAACATTAAAGAATTCTGAATCCAGAAATATAAAAGGAAGGACAGCACACATGTCCTCTAGATCTCTAAATATTGTCTACAAAATATTGTCTACAAAACCAGATGGAAGCATCAAGCCCTCAGTTGAAGAGTTCAAGCAGAAGTGTAACTAAAATGATATTAACACATCACATGCAACTTCTGTCACATTTGGATTTGGGTCATTCCTCCAGGCTAACCAGAGAAGTTATTTTCTAGGTCCCAAGCAAGATCAGCAGTGGGACAGAAGAAGATTAAAGCATTCACAAAGCAGTTAAGAGCTGAATCCTAAAACTATCAACTAGCTGTAGTGTTAAGGAGATGGTCAATGAATTTTCTTAGTTTCCACTGGACCTTAGTAATTTCTTAAATTATATTTGAAACAGAGATTAGGTTAGATGAGATTCTGATGTATCATTAGAGTGAGCAGGGGGTTATACTTAATTAATAAAATATGTTATATTCTTATCATGAGAATCCTATTATTATCTTATTTAGCTTAACCTCTCCGCAAAGGTACCATTATTCATCTTTTGGCTTTTCTGAGAATAGCATATTCTACTATTGTGATTTCACTTCCCTATCTTCATTCACAAAGGCATACTATTTTATGTTGCTAGGCTTTTCAACTTACACTAATCATCTCTACTAAGTTATTTTTCTACCTGCAAAGTAAAGGGAGAGACGTATAAGAAAAAAGGAGCAGATTTCATTTTTATACATCTTAATCCTGTCGAGTACTACTGTACACAAACCTCTTCTATTAGCTCACATTTATGGTTTCACACTTCAGGGTTACCAAAAGGAAAACACCTAAATTCTGCACAATGAAATATGTCTCCTGAGTAAAACACTAGATGTGTAACAATCTGGCAGCTTGCTTTTGTCCCAGCCATGAACTCCAGTTGTGATTTGTGAGATTCACAATTTTCTGGATAATGGCCAGGCTGGGACATTAGCTGAAAAATGTGAAATCACAGCAAGAGCTGGTCTTCACCAGTGACTTCCTGTAAGGCAAACATCACAGCTTCTGGTTTAATCCCAACACCACAGGCTTACAGGACAGTTCTGCCAAAAGGAGAGGCAAAGAGAGATTCATAGCATCACACAGAGTCTCAAGAGAATCACTTCCCGGCCATAATGCATGCTAAAACAGTCCAGGATACTTGGCAAGGGTTTGTATGTGTCTGGGACAGAGTCTTTAATTTTAGCATGATCTGCATAAACTCCTGGCCAGCAATATGGGTGTGTTATTAGAGAAATCCAGTCCCCTTCCAAGTCCTAATTTTTGTACATTTCTAATGTCTCCAAGCATGTATCAGCCACAAGATGTTTTCTCTGCCACCTTTTACAGAGAATCCCCTAGAAAATACTGAAGGGATTAGGAAATATATTCTCATGCAGATAAGATTTCCTCATTTTTTTCCTGCAAGCTTTTTGATGGAAGATACATGTGTGGTGCACTGGTAACTGGTGGCCAACTTAAATACCAGCTGAACTGAATTGTCATGGAGCTGAGCTTGGATGGCCTGCCTAAGGACAGCTGCCTGCATAAAAGAAGACCTGGAGAGGAGGAGTAACATTGTGGGTTCTCCTCAATGCAGCTGTTTGGAGCCGTTGCTTCTCCTGGAGGAGGTCATCATGCTGGCTCCCCCTGATACGAACTTGGCTGTTATCTTCAGAAGAGCTTGGCACCCTGTCGCTGAGAATGGCTGTGGTTCACTTTGGGGGAGCTCTGGTCCTCACATTGAGCACTACTTCCTGGCTCTTGAGGGGAAGAAATGTGTTTAATTTCCAGAAGTTTGTCATGTTTGTTTCCTGGTACATACTCAGTTGTTCTCATTGTTAGGGGAGCTCAAAACCTCATTCTGTTGGGAGCTGTTGAAACTAGAAATTGAACACACATGCAGGGCTGCAGCAAGGTGGGGGCATGTTCTGACCCAGAACGAAGAGACACCTCAAAGGGTAAGATAAGGTCACAGCTGAGGACACCTGGCTCCAACCCCAATCAACTAAGTAAAAACTAGCTGCAGGCATTTGACTCCTGTAGTGAAATGCAACATGGAGATCTTCTCCTAAATATTTCTCCTAAATGAAACATAATCTGTTATTGGGCAATCTTTGAACCACTCCCAAGGTCTGTTCAGTTTCCTTTGTTTTCTACTCTTAACCCCTTCCTTGTTTGAAAAACTAAACATGGCTGCCCAGAGACATTTCTTGTGTTAGTCCCTAGAGCCTTGAATTCCTCAAAGGGTTTTGGAGCCCTAAAATCATACCACTTATGTCATCTATTTTAGCCTTCATTGTACACTCATTTAGGAGACTGGAGATCTAAGCCAGGTCCCTGGTAACTGTCACTGAGGATGGCTATGGTACTTTTCATGGGAGCCATGGTCCTTATTTTGAGCATCACTTCATGGCTCCGGTACAGAACCCACCCTCAGCCTGCTGGCACAGATCCTCCACCTCACTAGCACAGACTTTCTAGATTCTTCTGCTAATTTTTGGGGCTCCCCAGTGAAGATCTGTGGGACAGACTTGCATGGGTCATTGTTATGGGCTCTGGGTTTTCAGCTGAATTCATAAAGGTTATCGCCATGGGATCCAGGCCCTCAGCTGATATTTCTAGGTCTTTAGTGTGTGGACAGATTTCCTGCACCTTCTCTGTATGTGACTCCTTGGGTGACCATTATAAATTGTATTATAAATTATGTGCCCTTGTAATTGTTCTCCTTACAACCCTTAACTATCGTAACATCTATTCACTGACATCCTTGTAACTTAAGTCTTACTTTCCATGCAGGATTCTCTCTGCCATATGTATTATTCATCACCTACGGTTTGTGGTAGGATAAACTCTCCTTAGACATAGATACTGCTGACCTTTAAATGGAGTATGTGAGACAAAATATAGATGTAGAGCTGACCAAAAGGGAGGCACAGAGAAGCCACGGCTCCATTCCTCTCTCACCCTCTCCCCCAATTTCCAGTTAAGTGGAAAAAGCAGTGGAGACAGTCGGAGCCCATTCATTGTCCAGAAGAGAGGTTTCCATCACTCAGCATGATTTTCAAGTCCAAACGGCTTGCATGATGAAAGATGTTACTATTTCACAAACAGGAAGTGGCAGAACCATAGCAGCCCAAGCTCTTGCTGTGTGGTATAAACAACAGCAGCTCCTGGACCACATGCAGACAGGCTGTTCCCCAGAGGAAAGGGGGCAGGGGACCACTACCCTTTAGCAGGTCTTTCCAGAAATGCTTGCGTTATGTCTCCTTGTATTTCTGAGCTATTCTCCGAAGATTCTCCATGGTCACCAACAGGAGAGAGAGCTGACCTAGTCCAGGGTTCCTTTCCAGCACTCTCACCAGTCCACTGATGCATCCTCCTTTTAGGAAGAGTTGTCTTAATCTGCACATTGAGTCCCCTCAGAATTTCTGTTGAATCGCATCTTTCTGATATTCTATACAGCATAGGTTGTTCTATATAACAACGGTATTGTTGTCAATACTGTTTACCATCTGTCTTTCTGCCTTGGAATTCTCCCCCAAAGAGCATTTCTGAAATTGTCAAACAGACAGCAAATACTCAATGACTCCATAAGAAACAGCTCGGAAAGTTGGATAAAGCAAGCAAATTGAATTGTGATTTGAGTGCAGTATCTTCTTATTCAAGGACAAATTTGATCATTTTAAAAGAGAGTTCTAATCTCCATTATCCATTAAGCCCATAAAAGACTTAAATATTATTGTCTCGCTATCAAATGGCTTGTTACAGGAAAAGAAATGACATTTGGTTTTACTATTCAAATTCAAATTACTATTCAAGGAGTAGTTAATTCCTTATGAAGAAAGCTTTAAAAGAAAAATGTATATGTATTGCTATGTAAGGCAATGATTACAGACTTTTATGATGTCCATAAATTTGATCTGAGCTCTGCAGCAGCTATAACCCTTCACCCCTGTGAGGTATCTGGGAGGTTTTCACAGAGAGCCAACAGAACGGTTTGTCTTAGTGACTCCCTCTTACACACAACGTGGCTAAAGATCCTACCTGAACCCTCACTTGCTGCTGATGACGGACTTAAACAGTCAACCTGGAACACAAACCTAAGACCTACAATTCTAAATCATATGGCATTTTGTGTGGCATAAGTAGATTAATTTTAAAAGAACTGTTCTTGGGGAAATTACATGAGACCAGCTTTTCTCTCTCACTGTTCATGTTGTTGTATCATGTTTAAGCTCATGCAATGTTTATTGGAATTAACTGTGCAGAACGGTGGTCAGGATGTTTATATTTTCATGATAAAAGTACAATGATCTGATATAATAATTGTGTACTTGATTCTAACTGCAATATATTTTATAGCCAGTTATTGACTCTTGGAGACCACTATGAAGCAGCTTTGAGCAGGATTTAAATGTTACTAATTGGCTTTCTATGTTTATCTGTGAGTCTGTCCTAGGCCTCGGCCCCTCACCTGGAGATGGGAACTGATTCATAGTAAGTGAACCTCTGTGAATCACTGGTCCTGGCTGAGGCCTGTAGTGGCCTGTGAGGCCAGAGATAACTCAAACAGCAAGATAAGGACACAGCTGGGGACACTCTGGCTCCAACCCCAATTAACAAGGCAGAGACTGCAGGTGCACAGATTACTCCTGCAGTCTCACTTCTACCATGTCTTCATGATAAGACAGTGCTACTGAATTGACTTGATTCATAACTTGAGACTCCTTGAAGTGACTCCCAAGGTCCTGCTCATTGCCTGCACTTTCCTCAGTTTCTCTGCCCTTTGTCCCTCTTCCTAATATAAGTGGACTGATCCAGAGAATCCTTTGTCTTTACCCTCGAAGCCTCAAGCTTAATTAAAGGGTTTTGACCCTCCTGGAGCCCTAAAACCGTACTATTTGTCTTTTTTTACTTAACCTCCACCATACATTCATTTGGCAGATTGGGGATCTAGGACAGAACCCGATAATCGACTGCTCCACCCTCACCACCTGCTGGAGCTTTATGAACTTGGGCTGACATTACATGTTTGGCAGATGACACACATACACATAATGCAGGAGAGTGCAGGTGGAGGAATGTGTCAGGATGGGGCTGGGGCTTGCTAATTCAACATCCACCACTCTTACACACTGACCCAGAACACTGGAGGAGGCAGAATTTCCTTTGAAATTGTGTCTCAAAGCCATGGATAAGGTCTAAGAACAAAATACGGAAATCAAGACACTGTAAATTCTGTCCTGGCACCAAGCTGAATGTCAGAGATGATAACTTGTCATAATGAAGCAGAACTCTTAACTGGCAATGCAAAATTTGCTGCATGTCAATGCCAAAAATGACTTTGGTATCTTTCCCGTATTTCCCCCTTTATGAGGGCATCTGCCACCCGAGTAGTGCAGCTGAATCTTCAGGCACTGTATCTTAATGCTGTACTCCAGCACTCCGAGCTCTTCCTCTTGACATTTCCCAGGGCTTTCTTGCAAAAGCTTTCAGACAGAGTATCTCTCAGCCTGTGGTGTATTGTAAAGCCAGCTTTCATTGGCGGGCAGGATGACCTGCATGTGACTGCTGAATCTTGGGGAAGAAAGACAGCAAATGATGCTAGGAGAAGCCAGAAATTAAAGGTGTTCTTGGCCATTGTGTTATTTGGACACTGTATCCTGATCTTTTCTGCTTCACAATGAGCACAAAGAAAGGCAGTGATGATACCAGAATGAGCAACGGGAACATAGATTATGGGCTGTGTTTCTTGAATGAGGTGAGGACCCGAGCCGTGGCCCCCTTTTCTCCCAATTCTCTTCCACTCTCTTGAATGTTAGACTCTGAGTCCACATCAGCTTCAAAGTGATATCCATGTGAGTGCTCTCGGCTTCCTCCAGCCACGGTCACTGTGACACGGGGCTTTAGTTTCCTCAGGAATGTCCTCCTTATTCATCAGACAGCTCTTATGAAATGCCACCTTGGGTCACTGTTCCCCCTGGGAGCGTCCGAGTCTTTGCCGCCTTCATTTCTACCTCTATCGTCAGATGCTGTTAACAACCACTGAAAACCACCTGCTTACTAGTCAGCTATAAAGCTTTCATTTCCACCTCCACGCGATCCTTGACAAAATTACCAAGTTTAAGGTTCAGGCCTTGCAGTCCCCAGCCTTCTTATCCACCTGACATGCACGCCCACGGGTTTCCATCCCAGTCAACAGATAAAAAGGTCTCCCTCCGTGGCACAAAACCATGATTTTATGATACAGTATTTTACGATATAACATTGCCTCAAAGAAAAAGTCAAAATATTGTGATTGCAGTCAAAACAAAAACTTACATGTGGATCTTGGTAACTTCTTATTCTCCGCTTCCTTACCTGTATTTTGTACTGCATTTTTGTCACAGAATAAGCATGGGCTGAGAAGACATTTTAGAAACCGCTGAGCTCTGAGCCTACTTACAATGCTGGGCCCTACCTTAATGTCTTCCTTCAAACACAGTTCTTTTTTCAGACATACAATGCTGGGGCCTACCTTAATGTCTTCCTTCAAACACAGTTCTTTTTTGGGACAAAGATACATACAAAGAAATGCCAGGCTGATAGTCTTGGGCAACAATCCTTTTCTGCTAGTACTTCTCATAATGTGACAGGCAGACTCAACTTCTACAACCTCTTGCCTACAATCACATGGACATCTCTAGTTGTCAACAGCAATTTCTACCCACTGAAGGTACCAAGACCTCCTACAACACACTGCGCTGTGTCATAAGCTGATTCTCTGATCCATCATGGAATCAGCTAAATGCTCAGATGTAAGGTTAGACTTTTCCAGAATCCTGCCCTTCAGGTCCCTCTGTACCAGCACAAAAGCTACTGGTGATGGTGGCAGGCAAGGTTCAGTAAAGACGAATTCCACCCTAGGCATACATACACATATACACACTCATGTGCAGATATGGATGTACATGTACATGCAGGTGTAATGTGTTTGCATGCATGTATATGCATGTAGAGCTGTAACTATATGTGTATGTGCATGTGTATCTATGTCTACATACATGATCATACATTATACGTATACCAGATGTTTATGCATGTGAGTATATTTATGTGCACTTATATCTGCGCATGTGTATATATGCCTGTGTGTAGGTGTGTGTGTCTACATAAAAGGAGATGTGTGTATCTATATGCAAATGCATGTATATATAGGTGCCTGGGTGTATATATGTATGTGTGCATGTATGTGTGTACATATGTAAATTCCTAACTTCTTGTAGGAAAGCAGAGTTTCAACGTTGGTTCTTTATTGCCTGTCCTTTGAGAAGAATTTGGAAGCACACAAAGTCTGAAGAGAGAGAAAACATGTCCTCAACAAACAGGTAAAATTTACAGCCACTGCTCGGTGCAGCTAAATATCTGCAATAGCGATACTCCACATGCTCATATTTACACAGCATTTCTGCACGTGAAGGGCTTTCTTTCTTCAGCTGAGCCTCTTTAAAAAAAGTTTACAGGTTTTGTTTTCTAAACAAATGTCATGCAGGACCTTGATTCAGGAAGCCAACGCATGCGGCGGCATGTCGTATCAAATAGACATGCCAATCTGTGCAAGGCGAGACCTAAAAGTAGATTATGCTGTGTGCAGTTGTTTTTTTTTTTTTTTTAGTTTTTAAATTTTATTTTAAAGAGAATAAAACCAAAGAAAATAAAACAGAATAAAGCCAATCAGAACAAAACAGTGAAAGTGACACAGAACTTCAAAACCAGATAATAGGAAATCAACAATGGCTACCATAATGCCTCTTATTATCTTTAAAGTAGCTGCCATACCATTAGACATAATAAAATCAAACAAAACAGAACAGACTAAAACCAACCAAAACAAAACAATGAGAGTGATATAGTACTTCAAAACAAGCTAATAGGAAATCAATAATGGCTACCATAATATATCTTATTATTATTATCTTGGAAATAGTTACCCATGCCATCAGATATAATAAAATCAAGTAAAACAAAACAGAATAAAACTAAACCAAATAATGAAAACAATACAGGACATTAAAACAATAGGGAATTATAAGTGTCCACCACTTTTAGAAGAAACCCCCCATAGTTGCTATATTGCATATTGTTATCCTGTAAATAGATGCTTTGGACCTGCAAAGTCAATTAAACACCAAACATTGCAAGCATTAAGCCATTGTTTTTTTTAAATTATTGATTGGTTGATCGATCGACTGATTGATTGATTGATTGATTGATTGATTGATTGATTTTACTTCAGTAGCTATCATCTCAGTCTGTGCTTCTCTGGATCTGCCAATTGCTAACAGGAGATGGTAGGATGTCAGCTTTTCTTGTCTCCGAGTCTGTGCATCCACTAGCTTCACAGGAAGGGGCTGGCTTCTTGTTTCTCCTCCCCATGGCTTGCATGGCTGCCACTGGCCCACAGGAGGGAGTTGGCTTCTTGTTTCTCTTCCCAATGGCTTATCGGCTGCCACTGGCTCAGGGAAGGGGCTGGCTTCTTGCTTCTCTTCCCAGCAGACCATAACTGCCTCTGGCTCACAGGAAGAAGGTAGCTTCTTGTTTCTCCTCCTAATGACCCACATGGCTGCCAATGACTCATAAGAAGAAGCTACTTCTTATTTCTCTTTCCAGCATCCTACATGGCTGCCACTGGCTCATAGGAAGAGACTAGTTTCTTGTTTCTACTTCCAGCAGCCTAAGAATGCTTCTGGCTCACGGGAAGTGGTTGGTCTCTTGCTTCCTCCTGAAGTGGCCCCAGTGTATTTTTTTTTTTTATTTAAGAGGAAAAAGAGAAAAACACAAAACAAACCAAAGCGGCGTAAGGGTACACACAATACAGAACTACAAAAAAAAAACCAAAACAAAACAAAAAAACATAACAGTAAGAAATCACCTGCTAGTAGATTACACACTATCTTCTTGAAAATAGTTCCTCAAATCACAGTATCAAAGAACACAAGGTGGACATTCAAACAGGGAGACTGCAAACAGTTGTGTTCAATGTTCCAAAAACATTGATAAAGTCAGCTATTTAACACCCCCAAACACACTTGCTGTTATATCCGTTAGAGCTCTTTTTCTTTTTTTTTTTTCCCCTCTCTTTTTTACAACAAAATTTACACATCTTGGATTTTATTACTCCTTAGTGCTTATTACTTTCTTTGGGGGGGGGGGAAGAATACAGTCAAATATGGCAAAACAAAGCTGTCAGTCAATACCAAGGATAGACATAGCACATGGTGTAGAACAGAGTACAAGTTTATCAACAATGGTTATCAACGTTGTCCCTTGTTTCCTTAAAAAGAATTGTCTATCTCATTAGATATTATAAAGTTGGACAAAACAGTAGAGAACAAACTGGGAAAAGATTTTAGTGAACTCTCTCTCAGACAAGGGCCTCTTGTCTAAAACATATAAAGAATTAAAGAAACTCAGACCTCCGAAATTCAAAGATCCAATCCAAAAATGGGCATCTGAGATGAATATGCAATTCTCAGATGAAGAAATGCAAATGGCAAATAAATACATGAAAAAATGCTCATCATCATTGGTCATTAGAGAAATGCAAATTAAAACCACACTGAGATACCATCTCACTCCTGAAAGAATGGCCAGGATCAAGAAAACCAACAACAAATGCTGGAGAGGCTGTGGGGAAAAAGGAACTCTCCTGCACTGCTGGTGGGAGTGTAGACTGGTACAGCCTTTGTGGAGATCTGTCTGGAGATTTCTCAAAAAGTTGGGACTGGAAATCCCATTTATTCCAGCTATTCCACTTCTAGGCATATTCCCAGAAGAACTGAAAGCATCATACCACAGTGATATATGTGCACCTATGTTTATAGCAGCACAATTTGTAATCGCCAGATCTTGGAAACAACCCAAGTGCCCATCAACTGAGGGATGGATAAAAAAGTTGTGGTATTTCTATACAATGGAGTATTATTCAGCTATAAAGAAGGATCACATTGAGATATTTATCAATAAATGGGCGCAGCTTGAGACCATACTAATTAGT